AAATGGTGACAGAGATATTGTTTCAACTGAGAGATGTCATGGTTGTCACTACCTGTAAGAACGATGTCATCAACATATACTATCAAGTAAACACATCCAGCACTCGAGTGTCGATAAAAGATAGAATAATCTACTTCACACCGAGTCATACCAAATTGTTAAACAACCTTGCTAAACATTCCAAACCAAGCCCTAGGAGACCGTTTTAGGCTATATAGGGATTTGCGAAGACGACATACCATCCTAGAAGACTCCCCCTGAGCAACAAACCCAGGAGGTTGCTCCATATATATTTCTTCTTGCAAATCACCATTGAGGAAAACATTTTTAACATCCAGTTGATAAAGAGGTCATTATTGAAGAGCGGCCATGACAATAAATAAACGAACAGAAGCCATCTTTGCCACAGGGGAAAAGGTATCTCCATAATCCAACCCAAAAATTTGAGTATAATCTTTGGCCACATGACGAGCTTTGAGGCGATCAATAGTACCATCAGGTCCAACTTTGATAGCAAACACCCACCTGCAACCAACAACAGATTTTCAAGACGGTAACGGGACCAATTCCCAAGTTCCACTATTATGAAGAACACTTAGTTCATCTAACATAGCCTGACGCCAACTAGGATGGGCTAAAGCTTCACGGACAAATTTTGGAATGATCATAGAAGAAATAGAGGAAAGACATGTATAAAAAGGTAATGACAGTCGATGATAACTCAAAGCAATATAATGGGGAGAGGGATTACGTGTAGAACGAATACCTTTTCAAAGGGCAATGGGAAGGTTAGACTCATGTGTCAGATCCGGAGGAGACAGAGTAGTTGACACTTGAGTGGAGTCACATGGTGGTGGTTGTGATTGGTTTCGACAACTATAAATCTGAAGAGGTAGTGGAGAAGAAGTTGACTGCAGAGCAGGAACTAATGGTGAAGAAGACACAGTTAGAGGGTCACAAACAACAGGAACATTAAATGTACTAGGAGTGTTAACAAGATTGGATGGAGACAGAGGTGAAGATTGACTTTTAAAATAAAGAGACAACTCATCAAAGATGACATTTGCAAACACAAAATAACGGTTAAGAGAAGGAGAAAAACATTTGTATCCTTTTTGTGATCTTGTAAACCCTAAGAAAACACATTTATGTGATCTAGGAGAAAGCTTGTCAAGACCAGAACTGAAATTATGAACAAAACATGTAGACTCGAAAACTCTCAGAGGTAAAGGATGAAGTGGTTCATGAGGGAATAAAATGGAATGAGGTATTTTATTATCTAAAACCGAAGAAGGCATGCGATTAATGAGATATCATGCAGTAAGAAGAGCATCACCCCAAAAATATTGAGGAACCTCTCCATGAATTAAAAGTGTGCGAGTTATTTCAATAAGATGTCTATTTTTATGTTCAGCTACACCATTTTGTTGAGGTGTATAAACACAAGAAGTTTGATGAAAAATACCGTGAGAAGCCATGAATTGTTTAAAAGAATGAAAAAGATATTCACGACCATTATCACTACGCAAAACTCTAATAGAAACACCGAACTGAGTTTGAATTTCATTAAAAAAAGTTTGAAAGATATGAAATAATTCAGAATGATTTTTCATAAAAAATAATCAAGTGTTTCTGGAATAATCATCAATGAAAGTAACAAAGTATTGAAAACCTAAAGTAGACTTAACGCGGCTAGGTCCCCAAATGTCAGAGTGAACCATGACAAAAGGGGACGAAGCACCACGTGTGAAACTACGAGGAAAGGAAGTACGACTATGCTTGCCTAATTGACATAATTCACACGCCAAACTAGATAAGTTGGACAAGGCAGGGACAAGCTTCTGTAACTTGGCAAGACTTAGATGACCTAACTCAACATGAAGAAGAGAGGGAGACTCCATAACTGTACTAACATGTGTAGAGGGATGAAGATAATAAAGACCATGAGACTCACATCCTGTGTCAATCACCTGTTTCGAACTTCGGTCCTATAAACACACAGAATTGTTGGTAAAAGTAACAACACAATCAAGAGAACGAGTTAGACGACTGATGGACAACAGGTTAAAAGGAGACCCAGGGACATAAAGAACATTATCAATGGTTAAAGAAGGAAAAAGTTTAACCGTTCCAACATCATGAGATGATACTCTAGAGCCATCAACCAGTGTAACAGAAGGTAAATGATTAGGAGAGGATAAAGAGGAGAACAAAGATTTGTTACCAGTAATATGATCAGTGACTCCTGAATCAAAAACTCAAGGACCAGGAGAAAAGGATTGGGTCAGACCAGCAAAATATGTATTTGTATGTGTGACAGATATAGTGGAACTAGAAGACTGTTGATCCTTATACCATTTGAGAAATTTATTAAACATAGTAGGCATGTCGAATGCAACAAAAGAAGGAGGATTCCCAACAGATAAAGGTGGGGAAAGATTGGTCTGAACAACTACAGCAGATCGAGGAGGACGACCATGTAATGCATAACACTTGTTAATCTTGTGACCTAACTTGCCACAATGTTCACACTTAGGACGCCCTTTTCCCTGCTTGCGAGGGCGAGTCCAGTCATCACGATGAGATGTCAACACAAAAGAATCATTAACAAAATTGGAAATAGTAGAAGTGGAAGAAGTCATGAAGAGTGGGAGAACAAACCCTAAAACAATCCAAAGTAATCCAATTAACCCACGAAGCACAAATCCAAAATGAGAATACTAAAAATAAGTTTGCCAAGACTAAATGACGCAGGAGACAACGGGACGACCAACTCCGATAGTGGTGATCTCAACGGCATGGTGGTCACCTGACCGAGACAAGAAAAATCATATGTCACTGTTCAAAAAAAATGAAACTCCGGTGAATTCTCCGGCAGCGGCGGATCCGGTGACTGCTTTAGCGGCAAAGGTGACAACAACATGAACTAGTACACCAGGTAAGTTCCCAAGAAAGAGAGGTGAGTCACTAATGGACACACTTAAATACCAAGTCTTTTCTTGTCAGAACTTTTCTAGACATGCACTTTCACAATACCAAATAAAATTCAATAACAAAGATAATTCTTTTATGATGTGGAGGATCAGTTTACCAGCAGCGGTGGGGCGACTCTAGCAATAGTGGGGTGGCTCCAGTAGTGGACAAAAGGCGAAAAAAAATTTCAAGATAACCTTAAGCTCTAGATATCATGTTGAATATAGAGAAAATAAGGTTTGAAATTAATCTCCCTTGTGTATAAATCACACAGAGGATAATCTATTTATAATAAAGAGGTACAACTAAAAGAGTAACCGAAAGTAAACAAAATAAACAGAAGATATTGTTTGATATTGTGGTTAACAATATCTAACAATATATTAACAATATCAAACTATATCTAAACAATATATAACAAATATATTTTGGTAACAGTTGATTATGTGATAGAATGGGCTGAAGTAGTGGCAACTTCTAAAGGTCGATGTCAAAACTAGTCATCAAATTTCTCAAAAGAAATATTTTCCGTAGGTTTGGTACCCCAAGAGTGTTGATTAGTGATGGAGGTGCACACTTTTGCAATGCTCAAATTTATAAATGTTTGGAGCATTACAGAGTTTGGTATAAAATTGCATCACCTTGTCATCCACAAACCAATGGACAAGCAGAGAAGTCAAACAAGGAAATCAAGAAAATTGTAGAGAAAATAGTGGCATCGAAAGGATTGGTCAATGAAGTTGGATGACACACTGTGGGCCTATAGAATTGCTTATAAGTCCCCTACTGGCTTATCCCCATTTCAGCTGGTGTATGGTAAGTCATGTCACTTACCAGTCGAGTTGGAGCACGAGGTATTCTGGGCCTTGAAATTTTTGAATTTTGACTCAAAAGCATTAAGAGAGAAAAGAAGATTAAAGTTGTAGGAATTGGAAGAAATGAGACTCAGTGCTTATGAGTCCTCTAAGATCTGCAAGGAAAGGATGAAAGCGTATCATGACAAGAAAATTCTCAAGACACAATTTTATCCAGGTCAATCAGTATTATTGTTCAATTCCAGGCTAAGGCTATTTCCTGGAAAACTCAAATCAAAATGGTCAGGACCATTTCTTGTCAAGGTTTTTAAACCTTATGGAGCTATTAAGTTAGAGGATCCTGAATAAAAAAGAAGTTGGGTTGTAAATGGGCAAAGATTGAAGCCCTACTTTGGTGGTGAGGTTGATAGACTTGCCACAATCATCGAATTGGATGATCCATAATGATACAGGCGTTAGGCTCGTGACGTTAAACAAGCGCTACTAGGAAGGCAACCTAGGATTTTAATTATGTTTTTTCATTTTAGTTTTACCTTGTATGTGTTAAATGTGTTTGTGTATATTTTATGTTTGTGTGCAAAAGGGTGAGTTTTAGCATTTAAGTGTCTCAATAGGGCAAACCATGCATGCTTAGGGGTTTTCAATCAAAGTTTATGTGTTATGCATGGGAATAAGTTTTGGTGCCAAAATTGAGTTCATTGAACATTAACAATTGTCTTATTTTGGTCAAATTGTGAAATTTGATTTTGAGAGCTTGATTTTGAGTTTGATGATGTGAAACTTTTTGGAATGATAGAGAATTAGACTAAATTCATCATGATTTGAATGAGTAGAAGTTGAATATATTTTTGAAAAGTGGCAAAATTTTTGTTTTTAATAAACTGCAAAAGTTTAGCCTAAGCTAAACCTTTCTCGCCTAGGTGAGATTTGCAAAAAACAAAATGACCAATTTTGCTGATATTTTAGCCTAAGTGAAACAAGGTTCGCCTGGACGAGAATTGAGTTAAAAATTGGGGTGCTCTCTGAAATATTTTCGCTTAAGCTAAAGTTGTTTCGCCTGGGTGAAATTGTCCTGCACCAAATGTTAACCACTGGAGCTTTTTCGCTTAAGCGAGACTAGGTTCGCATGGGCGATTTTTTTTTAAAAGAAAAAAGAAAAGAACAATAAAACTGTATTTCATAGAGTTTTGGAGGGAGGAATAGTGTTGTGTATCAATCTCCCCTCATCACTCTATCAAAATCAGTCTGAAACTCCTCCTTTTGAAGGTCCACTCTAACTGTCTCTTTCGTAGCAACAAGGTCGTCTCTATATGCAGCTCTTGACGGTTCTTCTCCTGTTGTGAATCTAACTGCAAAACTACTGCCAAGATGTACAACTCCAGACGGTCCCATGCCTGTTATGAATCCAGCTACAAAACTACTATTTCCAGGTCCACTCCCCCCTAGAAAAATTGGATTGTCCCCAGGCCACTGTAGATATGTCAAGAATTCTGGTGGAGCCATGCCTGGGTAAGGTGCTCGAACATTGTTATAGAGGTACTCATGAAGGTGGAGTTGTCATCTATTAATGGAGACATTCTGTTGGTGGGAGTGCTCCATTTGCAATCTCAAATACCTCATTTGCTCAAGTAATTTATCATTTATGTTGAGTTGAGGTTGTTGTGCAGGATATGTTTGTTGTTCTGCAGCTGCTGGTTGTTTTATCTGTGGCCCTTTTGGTTGCACAAGTTCTGCTGAGTTGGTACAAAAGTGCTTAATAAATTTCTTGGTAATGGAGGGTCGAATCTTAAAAGTTAATTTGACCTCCACCCCTTGAGCTTTGCAGAGAGCTATGATTTAAACTGGAAACCCTAAGGCACCTTTGGTCTTCTCATTGTTTCTATTAACTTCATATCGCACAAATTTGTGGATTTCCTCATAAATAATGGTGGTCACGTCAACAGTGAGATTTTCCTTCATTATAAAATAGAGGAGATGGCATCTAGGCACGTTCAAGTCAGACACATGGCCGATGGGCACTATATTTGCTAGTAAGAATGTCATCCAGACTTGGGTTAAGGTCTTCATATCCGCTCTACATACTCTGCTCTACATATTCTGTTCTACATATTATTGTTAGAAAAGTAGGTTGAGATCAAGAGGGGGGGCGAATTGATCTTTGAAAGATTTTCGCAATTTACAGATTATCTATTTCAAAGATTAAGTATTCTGACCAATTCTTGAATCAAACACAGCAAACAATCAAAGTAAAGGCAGTGACAGAATTAAAGAGAGAAAGGTTTAGAAAGATACAACCAAGATTTATACTGGTTCACCCAATCCCAGGGCTACGTCCAGTTTCCAGCCAAATTCCAGCTGGGTTCCACTAGATTGAACGTTTTACAGATTACAACTTCAATCACACACTCAATCTACCACAAGAACCAAAATTCCAGTCCTTGCACCTAAACCTTCACCAAGAACCAATTTCCAGTTCTTGAACAACCCTACAGCCAAATTTCAACCACAGAAACCAGTGCCCACACTTCCAGGCACACACAATACAAAAAAGAAAAGTAAAGAAACAAAGAGAAGAAACTAGAACACCCAAACCAGGTTTATGCAGCTCTGCAGAATGAGTTTTTTGACCAAAAGAATGCAAATATTGCCTCAAGAAAGAACTTCTAAAAACTTCACAAAAATTGCGCGATTCTCTCTTGAAAGTAGCACTTATGATTGCTTGATTGATTGTCAAAAGATGTATTTTAAAATGTTCAAGCAATTCTGTTTTATATAGAAGATTTTCCAAATTGCTGGTTTATTTAATCTGTTAAAATAATCTTTTAATCTGTTAAAAGTCTTGTTTTAATCTGTAAAACTTCTTTTAATCTGTTAAAATGTTTTTGATTATTTTCCATATTTGTTTTAACTGATACGACAACGTTTATATCAATTAAAACTCTTTGTAAAAAATCCTTCAAATTGTTTTAATCGATTGTTTCGTCTTTTAATCGATTAAAAAACTGCTAAAGGTTTTCATAAAAACTTTCTAAGTGATTTTAACTGATAACAATCTGTTTTAATCGATTAAAACATTCTGGAAAAATCTCTTAGTTGTTTTAATCGATTATTTCGCATTTGTATCGATTAAAATACTGACAGAACAACTTTCCAAACACTTCAAGTTATTTTAATTGATTATTTCGAGTTTATATCGATTAAAAACCTGCTAGAACACTTTTCAAAATATTCTAAGTCATTTTAATCGATTATATCAATTCTATATCAGTTAAAATGTTGGCAGAAGGTTTCCAAAATTCCTTCTAAGGAAAACAATCAATTATTTCAAAAACATATCAGTTAAAAACACTGTTACAAAAGTGTTAAGAACATTTTAGTCGATAAAGCTCATATAATATTAGTTAAAATAGTTACTTAAAAACCATTTAATAAAATACTTTGTTTTTAACAGTTTAAACATGTTTTTAAAGGCATTTGCAAAATCTTTCAAATGAAGAAATCTCATGCAGCAGAGAGATAAGAATGATTATACCTAAGTAAAGATGCAGACTCATTAATCACTCTACCCTTTTATCTAAGTGACCTTTGACTGCAACATAGTAGCCTTTGACTTCATTTTGACTTCATCAAATCAACAAGATCTTTATTCAAGTGATTCAATAAGATCTTCATCACTTTCAGTCTCCCCCTATTTGATGAAGACAAACACCTCTTTGAATAATATCTCTGCAGAAGAAGTCACTTGAATATATAAATTAGTAAGTATTTAATCAATTTTCCCATTTCTCCCCCTATATTACTACTCCCCCTAAAATAAGGAAAATCATTATCATTAAAAGCAAAGCAATTACTTCTCCCCCTTTTGACTTCATCAAAAATAGGGAAGAGAGGAACAAAAACAAACACTATGCATGATATGTATCAAAATTTGTTTTTGAAAACAGAAAAAAAAATAATTGAACAAGATATATACTCATATAAAGACCAATCAAAGTTGATTCAAACTTATCTTCATTAACACGTTTGTAATGAATACAATAGACACGTGTAAAGATAAGGGAATCATGCCTTAGTAGCATGTTACAAGAACAACCATTAACTAAAGCCTTTAATTTTTCATTCCAGAGTAATAATTGATTAAAAACAGAACAAAATCGATTAAAATGTTCCTATTACTGGTTTTAATCGATAAAAATATTGTTTTAATTGATTAAAACAATGATGAATATTAGAAATCTAGAAACTTAAGTTCATTTAATCAATTAAATCGACATTTAATCGATTAAAATAGTATTAAAAATGTTGTATAAGTTCTTTTAATCGATTAAAGCCTGTTTTTATCAACTAAAATAACCAGATTTTGAAACTTAAGTGATGTTGGATGCATCTAAAATGCCTAATTCAGTGCGAATTTTGTAAAATCGATCACGAGCAAGAGGTTTTGTAAAAATATCTGCTAGTTGTTTTTCAGTTTCTATAAAGAAAATTTCACAATCACCTTTCAAAACATGATCTCTAATGAAATGATGTCTAATTTCTATATGTTTTGTCCTAGAATGTTGAATTGGATTTTTAGTTAATATAATGACACTAGTATTATCACATAAAAGAGGAATTTTTCTGAGAATTAAACCATAATCCTCAAGCTGTTGTTTGAGCCAAAGGGATTGAGCACAACAACTTCCAACTGCAATGTACTCAGCTTCAGCTGTAGAAAGGGCAACACATGATTGTTTTTTACTATGCCGTGAGATTAGGCTGCTTCCAAGGAGATAACAAGTGCCACTAGTGCTTTTCCTATCAAGCTTACATCCTGCAAAATCTGAGTCAGAGTATCCAATTAAATTTAGTTTGGACTCACCAGGATACCATAACCCAACATTTAAAGTTCCTTTCAGATATTTGAGGATCCTTTTTGCAGCGAGTAAGATGAGATTCTTTTGGTGCAGATTGAAACCTGGCACACATACAAACACTAAACATAATGTCGAGTCTACTTGCTTGTTAGATATAGTAAAGAACCAATAAGACCTCTATATTTAGTTTCATCTACTGGTTTTCCTTTTTCATCAGAATCAAGATAGCAATTGGTGGACATTGGTGTTGATGCTTCTTTGCAATGCTACATCTCAAATTTCTTTAAAAGCTCTGTGCAGTATTTAGATTGATGGAGAAAAATTCCTCCTTGAAGTTGTTTAACTTGTAATCCAAGAAAGTAGTTGAGTTCTCCCATCATAGACATCTCAAATTCTCCCTGCATATCTTTGATAAAATATTTACATAAAGACTCATTAGTGGCTCCAAATATGATGTCATCAACGTATACTTGAACTAGAATTACATCATTATTTAATTTTTTTAGGAATAAAGTCTTATCAACCAAACCTCTTTGATAGTCCTTTGATATGAGAAAATTACTTAACCTTTCATACCATTGTCTTGGGTCTTGCTTGAGACTATACAAGGCTTTCTTTAATCTATAAACATATTCTGGATGAATATGATCTTCAAAACCAGGTGGTTCTATAACAAAAACTTCTTCATTCAAGTAGCCATTTAAGAAAGCGCTTTTGACATCCATTTGAAATAACCTGAAACTTTTTATCGAAGCATAAGCAAGTAGAAGTCTAACAGCCTCTAATCTAGCAACAGGAGCATATGTTTCATCAAAATCAATTCCTTCTTGTTGATTATACCCTTTAGCAACTAATATGGCCTTGTTTCTAGTAATTATACCATTTCCATCCATTTTATTTCTAAAAACCCATTTAGTTCCTACAATATTGGCATTATCTGGTTTTGGAATTAATTCCCATACTTCATTTCTTGTAAATTGATTTAATTCATCATGCATAACATTAATCCAGTTATTATCCCTTAATGCATCAGATATGGTTTTTGGTTCAATTTGTGATACAAATGCCATGTGATTGCAGAATTTATTTAAAGATCTTCTAGTGGAAACTGCCTGATTTATTTCACCAATGATGTTGTCTATTGAAAGATTTCTTGGAGTCTTCCATTCTTTAGGCAACTGCTCTTCAGATTCTTCAATATCTTCTACCTGTTTTTTGACAAACTATTGATTCTGGCAGTTTTAACTGATACATTTTATCAGTTAAAACATCATGTCGTTGCCGTCAAAACGAGGCAGTCAGAGCGACGCGATGGTTTTTGACTTTCCAATTTTTCGCGTTTTTATTGGTGTGGTTACAACGCCTTTAGATTTTCCGATAATCGGGCTGAACCTAGGGGCGAGGTTTTCGAAAAGGCGCTCTTGGATTGTCCGATAACCGGGCTAACCCAAGAACTAATTTTGAAGGGTTCTTCTAGAGTCGCCACCGATGTTTTTATCGGAAACATCGGAAAAGGAGTAAAAAAGCATTAGTTTTCGAAAAACCAACTTTGGTCATTAGAACCAGAGTTGGGTAAGGGAGTTAGTTACGTGTAAGGGAAGTGTTAGTTCCCTTACGACGCCCCTTTCAGGTTCCCTATGATAGGCCAACTATTTTAAGTAAGTAAACCGGTGAAAATATGCTTTTACCCTTTATTTGCGGAATTTAAAGTTACGACTACA